CGTATTCGAGAATTTTTAAAAAATTTCATTAAGTAATCTTGAGCGAAAAAGAAAAATGAAAATAAAAATCCGAACCAGCCAAACTTTTCATACTTTCCAAAAGTAGTGCACGAGAAATCACATTCGTATATTTTTCTCCTTTTTTTTTTATTTTAATTTAAAAGCCTCGCGTCTTTGAAATATTACATACAGTTATATGGCGTGTGTGTGTATGTGCAGCTCGCAAGGCAAATTCGAGGCAGCAACAGCAGCAGCAGCGGCATCGCTCCAGCCAGCTGGTCAAACAACTCCGCCACAGGAGAGCCTGTTTCAACTCTTTTCTACATATAAATATATGTATGCGATCATCCTCCTTTCATGCGCGGCTGCCAGCCCCGCTCCCTCTCTGTCTCTTTCTCTCTTTCTCTCGCTCGAGAATTATACCATACGTGCATTCTGGCAAGGCAGCTTGTGGCTCTTTGTCGATATTACAAGTCTTTTCTGCCTCATTTAAGGCTTCCTTGTTTTTCACGCCTACCCGCCCGAAACTTTCCTTCTCTCTCGCTCGCCTTTTCTCGGCGATCCGCAAATAAAATCCCCCTATACGTTGCCCATGATACACGTATATCGATTCGTCGAAATCATTGACGAGCCTCGCGATGATTCAATAATCCTCGAAACACGTCTCGTTGTTGGCGTCGTCGACGATACAGCCTCGATCGATGACTACGCATCGTTACGTAAACTTTTATATATCTCCGATTGCACAAAAAAGAAGGAGCTGCATATAACGCCGGCGATGGTCTTAGATGCGAATATCCTCGACGATGACGACGAGGACGACGATGTTTGGTAAATTAAACCTGTTTGCGAGGCGAATCGGTATTGCGCTATACGTTCAAGGCATAATTCACAAGTGCGTAATATCACACTCGTACGAATTTCTTTTGATTCTGCATGGATCTCTCGCTATAAGCCATCCCATAAGTACTGGGGTTTTGTCGAAAATACGTGGCTATATGAAGCTATTCGTACATGTTACATAGCACGAAATTCCTGGCCTGGGCCGCCTGCAATATGTGCTCCTATTTATAGCGTCGTCGTGTGTGCGTGTGTGTGCATGCGAGTCCCGCGCGCGAGAGAGGAGAAGCTCGAAGTTTATCTTCCGTAAAGAAACCTGTTTTTCGAGACTTCAAAACTGGTTGACACTTTATCGCGTGCATATACACTCGCATGCATGCATATACGATCGTCTGCAACGCCGCTACACTTCTCCTCGTTCGCGCACTGCAACGATTTTTACAAACTTGCCGCACTGCACGTATGCCTCGAGTTGGGGGTCTGTGCTGCCTGTCCGCAAGTGCAAAGTGCGTTCGCATTCGCAAATTTCACTCGTGATTTGCATCGAACCAAAGAAACAACGAAGAGAGGCTCGTTTTTTTCCATTTAGTCGCACGAAATAGGTAAAAGTGCAAACTATACGCGACGCTGAATTGGCAATCTCGTCTCGGACGTTTTTAAAAGCGGACGATTGCTCAAGCCGCGACGTCGCGCCTGCGTGAATTTCGAACTGGGAGAGCTCCCGCTCGATACGCTCATTTTTATATATATCTGACTTTTTTTTTTAAACATCTCTCGAGGATGAGGCAACGATTTGTGCATCTAAAAGCCCAATTGCCCTTGATCCATTTCGAATCGAAGCTTCCTCGTTGCATGTTTGCATTCATTCTCCCTCTCGCTGACGCACGCGGCTCTTTCTTTGGGACTACGAAGGAAACAGACGATATACTCTACATATATATAGGTAGACGAGGATACGCCGTTCGTTCGGCCGATAAAATCGAAATCTCACGAGCGACCTTGAACCTACGCTCGGTGGTAAAATCACTGCCAACCTTTCCCCGAAAACTTTCACCTTCGCCCGTATATATTATAGTTCGCCTCATTATAAGCTCCAGAGGCATCGCGATACGAGAGCCGAAATTACGGCACGGCGCTAAAACTTGGCAAAGCTCGAGCTCTCGCGCACCGAGGCACTACCTCGAGGTCGCGGGGGCAGTTTAGAGCCGTTTGTTTTTTCAGAGTTCGACGTCCTTCGCGTCTAATATTACAATGTTGTAGCGATCGAGAAGAGGAAGAGGCGAAGAAGTGCCGCGACAGCAAAAGTCTCGAAAGCAATTTACTGTATTTTCCAAGCAGCTTCGAAAATATTTGGCTCTTTAGCTCTCTTGGCAAATCTTTCGATGCGTTCATTATATTTGCGGAGATATCTTTTTTTTTACTTTTCAACGCGAGTGAAAACGACAGTTACGTGAAATGGACGTATAAATTTTCACGGAAAATCAGCCGCACCGTGCGGAGTGTATTTTTAGAAAGCAAATAGCTATATAGTACCTCGCCTCGGACCAGACGATGGCGACGACGACGACGACGACGACGATGAAAATGAAAATCGATGCTTTCGCAGTCGTGCGCGCGCCACAACTTTTAGCGACGCACGTGAAACACAAGCATATTTTTTTCTTTTTTTAATGTTAAAAAATGATGTTATTAACATCGAATGAACCCGGCCGTTTTATCAAACTTTCACCTAAAGCGCCGAGCTTGATTAATCGATTTTTCAGTGCAGTAATTTGGCTGGAATCAATTTAATTTAATCGATGCGAGGATCGCTGCACCAGGAGACCACAAGGACTCGGCGTGAAAAATCGGGCCTCACTTTACTAACGAGCCGCGCGATGTGTCATTTCTGTCTTTGAGGATGACGTAAGTTTACGAGGTTATCGGCTGCAGGCACCGATTCGCAGCACATTTATGAGATGCTCGCGCGCATTTATGTATATTATTCGAGAATAAAAAAAAATCCGCGTGAGTCGATCGAATTTTAAGTCGTATGCGAGCAGCGATTAAGTTATAAAGGCATTTCACATTTGCCATGAAAAGCTAGCGCCTCGCGTTGATTTTCCAATACACGATAGTGCACCACCGTGTACACAAGCCACTGTAATATTGCTATTTTCTCAGTCGCGCGGCGAAAACGATTTGTCGCGGCTCGCCATCTACAAGAAAGTTGCGTATGCATTATATACACGTACGGAGATGATTTATGAAGTTTTCGCGCGCGCACAGCGTTTCATCCATTTTCTTACTCTCAGGGGGAAAAACTCGTCGATCGAAACGAGGAGAAAACTGCCTGGTAATAAATAAACAGCCCCCGATGAATAAATAATAAAAGCAAATGAATCTCGCCTCTTTGCGGCGAAGAAAAAATGGGCACGGACTCGCACACAGCACAAAAGGCAGCTCACGTGCGCAGCGGGGGTGAAAGTAACTTAATGAAAATATAAAAGTGCCGAGGAACAGCGTGGGGCGCAAATATTAATTATATCCTCGGCGCTCGCTTGCGTCGACTATTTTTTGGGTTCGACAACCGTCGGTACGCAACAACAGTTTTCATATAATACACACAATGCCAGCGCGAGGATGAACACAGAAGCCCGTCCAATGTGAATGTTTTTTTTTTTGGACGAGCACAAATCGTGTACTTACACGCACGCGCGCATCTTTAGCGTCTATCGTCGTCGTCGTCGTCGTCGTCGCCGTGGTAGATATAACAACAACACGACAGTTGGAAGAGCCAACGATGCGAGTTCTGACCTTCAAGGAATTTTTTTTTCTTTGGAAAATTCATAATAGACGCGTCGCACGTGTAGAGTCGATGATTTTACGGGACTTTTTTTAAAAGCAAAGTAAGCGGATATTTTACATTTTTATATACCAGAGTTTACACGACGGAGAATTTTAATTTTTTGCAAAATTCGTGTTGTGATCAATTTTTTGCTCTCTTTAATGCCTATGCGTCAAAAAATAAAAAAATAAATAAAGAAGACGATTGGATGGGAATTTTTTTCCTACTTTGTAAACAACCGAACGAAAGATTTTTTTGTACGATTGTTCAAGCTACCAGAAATGCATATTCTTGTTTGAAGAAAAATCTCATTGTCCATGCAAAAATCTCCTCTTACTTGCGCAATAAATATTGTAACATTAATTGTATCCACGATGTATGTTTAATGTGCGCATAGAGAGCAAAAAAGTTTTGACCTTGTACATTAGCGCGAGCTGCGACGAAAAAAAAATCATCATCATCATCGTCGTTGAACGAGTCCACTTGGTTGTTTATATTCGTACCACTCGTAAGTGTGTGTATGTGTTTATGTGCACGCGCGTGCGAGAGAGAAAAAAATCGCTGCAAAAATTAATTATGATGCAAAAGTTTGTTTGCCAATAATACGAGCTTGAAAGCGCGCGAGCTCGAGCCGCGATTTTTCTGTCTTCATAACAATATTAAACGCCTCGCGGCCGCACCAATGTGTATATTAGGAAACAACAAAGTTTCTCAATGTAGCTCTTACGTATAGACAAGTTTCTCTGGAAAATTGGCATGCCGAGCGAGCGTTAAAAGCGAAATGCAGACTGTCGACGAGCCAAAACATCCCGTTTAAACGTCCTCTCGGCGACTCGGAAAAAAAGAAGACGCTGTAGCGAAAAAATTTCGAAGCAAGTATACAATAAGATTTTTTGTTTCTTCGAGAAGAGAAAGAATTTTCACTACGGCATTTGATTCGTGGAGCGCAGATCCTTTGAAAAATCGAAGCGCCCACGAGGCATGGATCCGCTGGATAAATCCACGCAGCCGGCCTCTGCTCGGCTAAAATAGCTCTTTGTCGGGTGCGAGTAGAAAAATCTTTTGGCTCGTCTGTTGTGTATTTTTTGTTGTGCCGCGCAACACCTGCAACGTCGGTATGTCCATACAAAATCATCCCCCTCTACGCGAGTCGCGCACACAACTGCGCTAGTTTCGTGTCCGCCGCGCGCGTGTACTTGCACATGTATACACGAATACTCGCACGTGTGTGAGGCGTAGGTGTGGAGGATAGGTATGTATATGTGTAATGTAGAGCATGTGCAGCGGAGTAGTCCACCCCATCATCGTTTATGCGCGCAGTCGCCCTCGTGGAGTCGCGAGGCTCGTCCTAGAACGTCTGCAGCAAGGAGCGCTTAGTCTAAATCGCTCCTCCAGCCAGGCAGATCGCCGAGGCAGCAGCAGCAGCAGCAGACAAAACAAACTCTGTACCTGCTCCGTGGCTGCTCTGGCGGATCTTTCGAGGGTCGATCAATCTCGTTGTACATCGAAGCGTGACGAGGCGAAATGTGCAGCGCCGATTGTTGAATACCTCCACACGGACACGCACTTGTACACGAAAGAAACGTCGTAGATAGCAGCCGAGTTTTCCTCGCGGCCTCCTGCCTTTTCTGCTGCTGCTGCTCAGCCGAGGGTTGTGTGCGTGTACGAGTTGATTCTGGCTGGAAGTAGTGGTAGTAGCTGCGCCTGCGCCCCAAAGTCACGAGCTACAATTATCCCGCACACGTATCCTTTATCGCGAAGGATTTCTCATCGCGAGCTTGCAGGTACGTATACGGCTCGTGCATGTCTGTGTTTTTCCATCATCATTATCCATCGTTATTAGGCGAATAACAGGCGTTTCGATCGATCTCGCAGCTGGCAGGTGAACATTTTTCTCAAAGTCTCTCACAGGAGCAGTGCGTCGAATGTGCGCGATCGATCGCTTTCCTCCTCTTCTTCTTCTTTTTTTTCTTCCGGGTTAACTGCGAGCTTTGTTGTGTGCACGCTCGGAACTTGGATCGTTCGATAGCTCGCGCCGCTCAAGTTCGCCACGCGACTTTCGCAGTGCGCGCAACCGTACTTGCGTATATACCGCATCTGTAGATCGTGCTCTGCACGTGGACTTTTCTGCTAAATTGAATAAAGTTCAAGTCGGTACGATTTTCCGCTCCGTTTGTCGGGCGCTTCTCGTCGCCCGATGATAATCATACTGAGACTTTCAATTGCCTCGAGTCGCGATTTGCCGTTAATAAAATAAAACGCGCGCGATAACGTTAATTTCGACTGACAAAATGATAGATCGATTTTTAATTCGCAGGTATACCGAGTAGTCAGAGTTTGCAAAGTGAAGAGCAGATAAGCCGAGCAGCATGACGGTAACGTCGGAGCTCAAGGAGATACGGGAGATGCTGCGCAAGATCATCCGCGACATGACCAAGATACGCGAGACCCAGAAGCAAATGAAGGAGGAGATGTACGAGGTGAAGGACGACCTGCGCAAATTCCGCGAGTCCTGGAAGAAGGAGAAGTACGACATAGAGAATCGCATCATGAGGCTGGAGGAGCGCGACACGGTCAAGCGCGAGCTCATGCAGAGGCTCATGCGCTTCGAGAAGATGCAGGAGGCCATCGAGATCAAAGAGAACAACAGCAACAACAGCATCAAGTGCTGGGACGACTGCATGCAACACAAGACCAAAATCGTTCAGCAGCAGCAGCAGCAGCTGTCGGTGGACCTGCCCCCGCCACCGCCGCCCCCGCCGCTGCCGGCCAGTGCCTTCCTGCCGAGTTACGACATCGAGCGGCGGATCGAGTGCGTCTTGGGCGATAAGGACAAGAGCCACAAGAGCACCGTCAACATCGAGTACAAGAAGCTCTGCATCAACGAGAAAAACATGATACTCAAGGACGGGCGCAGATTGATCAAGCAGTTCTTCGGCGGCGGCAGGACCGACCTCTAAATCTCCCCGTGTCCTCCAGTCCTCCGTGCGCAGCTGCAATTATCAATTTCATATCGTGCACCTATGCAATTATATCACGTACATCTCTCCCTGTCTCGAGATTGTTCGACGCTAAATGAGAAGCCTCGTCGCGAATAGAGTCTCTGTATATTTTCATAGGCGCGTGTATAGCGAGTAATTTGAAAATCTTTATCATAGAGAGTGCTAACTATTTTTGCTAAAATACAACTTGTTTTTTAGTGCCTTTTTATCGAGTGCGTGTATGTTGCGATACGTGTATTTCACGACGCGTGCGAAATAAGAGAAAAACGTGCAAAAATTTCAAGTACAAGCCGCTGATACGGATCTCAAAGCTAATTTGACTAGATTTCTCCTCTCAAATTTGCTCCAGCAGCATACCATTATAAATACGTAGAATTACTCGGTTAAGAAGTTCCTTTACTCGTTATGTGTCTCTTATATAGCCTAAGCGAGTGATGATATACATATTTTAATTTTCTTTTACGAGAGACCTGCACGCTTAATAAGTAATTACGTATTTTGGAATTTGTGTGAACCAATAGTTTCGACATAGCAATCTGTCCCAAGTAAATAAAGTGTGTATTTTTAATTAAAGTAATTAATAACATAGGGTCTATTCGGAGGAGATGAGGGTACGAAAATGGAGCTTATTTTGGATTTCCGTGCGCGATGAATTTTGTCGAACAAAATTGGATCATTTGGATGGTACCCCATTTTAACCCCGACTCAATTTAAGAAACAGATCAAAATATATTATATCACGTACAGTCATAAGTGTGTGTAAAAAAATTATGTATAAGATTATATATTTCTCGATGTTTTTCAGAGGTTTCAGAATTCTGCTAAAAAATTTCATTGTTATATAATTGATTGACGATACGTAACTTGTCTTATATAGAGATACACAAAGTTGCCTTATCAGAAGAAATAAAACGTATATAGATGCACAAATATTTATGCTACCACATAACTATATAAATGTATAAAAAATATATATATTTCCGAAATATCATAATGTTTCTTTGATCGTTCGAATGTCTAATAAATTTATATTGTACAAAATGTGCAATCGATCTCCATTTATTTCGCTTCCAAAAGTTTCTAGTAAAATAAAAAGTGAAAATTCCTTTATCTGTTCGTGTGAGCATCAACACGATGAGGCCATATACTTAAATATACACAGAAGCGTCGAACGGTTCAAACAAAAGAGTTTGATCGATTTAAAGTGCTCCAAGTCTGTTTTCAAAGTCATTGGCCAATTATAGGCTTGTATCGGGGCTTCTCGACTCATATTTAGGCATAATACAATTATAATACACACGAATGTCAACAGGTTCGTCTGTATATTTTGATTCCGACAACGAGCTTTGACATCTATTCCTTAGCGGCATACACAGTAAGTTTATACTGGCTATACACAGCTACGACATTTTCAAGTTCAATGAAAATGTTGATCCTCTCAGTCTGTCACCTCTACTCTCGCTAATGTACTGTGTTTGTTTACTTTCGTAAGATCGACGAATTAATAATACACAACAGGGTCCCTCAAAACGAGAATCCAAGTTTATGATAAATCTCTGCTGGTTTCGTGAAACCAAAAAAAAAAGAAGATTTTCAATTGAATAATGAGATGAATATGCATATAGCGCGTACGCGAGTCGACGGATCGTCATTGTCCGATCAGAGGAAAAAAAAGAGTCTTGGCAGCCAAAGTCTGAAATTCAAAAATATATACGTCGACCCGCTGAGTCATTTAGAGAACGAGAGTGAATTTATCGGATAGACCTTTGTCTCGCTTATATATATATCGCGGCGTATCTCAAATTGCTGCGCGCGATATTATTTCTCGAATCTCGGAGGAGGTGGATTTTTACGCATGGCCAACATGAGCGGCTACGATAGCAATGTTGAAGTATTTGACGAGAGTAAACCTGTGAGCTCGAGCTAAGTATAGATTTTTTAATGTGTATATTTATATAAATCTACGAATTGTTGTCTCTTGCATTGCGATGCTTTTAGAAATGCTCTATCGCAGCTCTCTTTTCCCATAACGATCCGTAGTTGAAAATGGATTGGAGCGTCGAGTCGAATTAATTACAGTTTATACATAAACGAAGAAAAATATTATTGCCAGATAAACATTCCCTAATCGCAGCGATTATGTATGTGATCGCCTGTAATTATAAACTCTATCGAGCAAGCTTATACAGATTAAGCTGCATTGCAGCGGTAGCGGAAGTCACATGTACGTAGGCGAATAAAAAGGTTTCGACTTTTTACTATGTTAATCGCAGTTGAATTAGAAAAAAAATCAACAACAACATGGAATGAAAAAGTAGAACTCGCATAAATAATCGATGCGTCCGAACCAAGTGCTCGTCGTCGAATCCGTATGTGAATAAATCGACTCCTTTGATCGCTAAGCTCGTACGGCAGCTGTCATTTTATATGTTTTCGCGCATCCTTCTTGTTATTGCATAAGCTAGTCGATTTTTGGCCGATTTCTAACCAATCTGCATAATGCACGCGTGTTCGTGTGTGTGCATATATAGACGGTAATGCGATTCCACTTCCTCCGTAGCGTTCGCGATAACAATCACCGAGTCGAGCTCTAAACTCGTGCAGTAACGTCGTCGATCTTTTCATTAATTAAAATACGTGTATATTATATAGCAGGCAGTAGGCGCAAAGACAAAAATATCGGAAACTTTCACGAAAATGTGTGATATGGGCGCAGGCGAGTCGCGCAGCTCGATAATCATCAACGCGACGCGCTTTACTAATCGACAAAAATATAGCCCGAGATAAGAGATTGGAAGCTCGGGATCTGACTTTTTATCAATACGCCATATCTGTCTATTGCTCGCGTGAATTTAAAGCCGTACATGGAAAAAACATATACTTGGACGTTGAATCTAATCGGAGACGAAACAAGAGAAGATGCGAGAGAGAAAAAAGAGAAGAAAGAGAAACGAGTCGAAAAGAAATGTGTAAGGAGGCTTTCGATGAAAATTTGATAGAGTGACGAAAAGTGACAAGAAGCGAAGAGAAAGAGAGTCGATCACGCGATAATCGTGTTTGTTGGCCCGACCGAAGATCCGTCACTCGCATACAATTGGTTTTTTTTTCCTTTTTGTCAATCGATCCAAGCAAACTTGCGAGCTTTTCATATATTATATTTGCTCGCGAAAGCTCGTCAACGGCTGCGAACTGATTTTGGTTAGCCTTCCGTATACCAGCTGCGATGCAATTAATCGTACAGGCATATTCGTTGTGGCGTTAATCAAGCGCGAAATTCGTCGGATTGTCGAGCGGAAAGAATAATGGCACGAATACGGATCGAAGCCCAGGAGGCAGGTTTTACCGTTACGATCTTGCAGGCACTTGCATGTCTAAATGTCAGGGTGGTGTACGCGTCGTAAATACAGCGAGTATCTCTTTCTCTTTCTCGCTTGATTGAAAATGGCTCGAGCTCCTAAGCTGCTCTCAAAACGTTTTAATAAACGAATTAAAGCTAGGTATGTGCGTTGCATCATCGTGTCCGAACCAGTTTGTGGCTCGCTGCCACCCGAGGCCGTAGCCGAGCGCCTGCTCTACCTATAACATCGCTGAAATGGAATAGCTGATAGAGGCGCGCGAACGAGTTATGAAGATGGCCTAGACGCGCAGCGTACATACTAGGATCGGTGCACGTCGAGCCACGTGGGTGTGGTGACGCTGCGGCTCGTCCTGCAGTACGCTAATAAACATCGGGGGCCGGGGCTCGTTTTTTCCCCTCTCTCTGGAAGCTCTCCCTCTCGTTGATTCGTTTAAGAGCTTTCTCCTATACTTGGAGCTCGCGAGCTCCTATATATGCAAGCCAGTGCATAATAAATGAATCGTTGATTTATGATTATGGGTGGCTCGCTCGAGAGAATATGCCTAAGTAGCTATCGGAACTTTAGCTGCTGCTGCTGCACTCGTAATCTATGCAAGAGTATCAATCATATACTGCGAGCCTATATACTGCAGGTACATATGCTAATCAAGCGAGAGATGCGAGAGAGAGAGAGAGAGAGCGAGTCCTCCTCGGGCAGGTCTCTGCGCTGCACCGGCAACAGGTGCAGTACATACAACAGCTGAGCACGACGAGGAGCGAGCGAGTGAAATTCTCCAGCTTTTATCGTATTATTTGTCTTTTTATTCTCATCCGCGGCGTAACTGATGCTGCCGCTACTGCACCGTTACGTTATTCCGCCAATCGCTGCCATATAGATCCATGCGGACGCTATACACAAACCGACTCGTCGCGTATACATGTACGTGTATATTATATACATTTTGTCGAGAGGCTTAACGATCGCTAAAAACTCGACGCGGACGCGTTCCAGAGTCCGAGCTTATGCTGTATATCTATAGCTAGTCTAGCTCGTGCTCCAGTACGTACAACGTAGCGCATACACAGTCGTGTGCAGTACAAAAATATATATGTCGTATGCAAAAATAGCATAATTTAACATACGCTTATCTTGGCGCGCGCGTCGTGACTCGGCGTTATCTTTAACTTGCTAATGCCTCCTCTCCTCCACTTACCTCTCCTCGGCTCTTGTGCGCTATGTGTATGCGCTACGTAGTACGAGTTACACGTAATAATAATAATGATACGCGCTGCGACTGCTTCGACTGCGAGCTTTTTCGTCGTGGCAATTCGTGGCGTCCAACTGCTCGCCTCGGCGACCACCACGACGATCTACCAAAAACTAGGAGCTAACAAAACTAGTCCGCAGCTCCACCGATCGTTCGTCGCTTCGATCTTCAACGACGATTAAGATTCAATGCTAAGAATACAGCTGTGAGTTTGAATGAGTTCATACGATATCATGCGTGTCGCAGCCATTTCTTTGGCTATCGATGCAGGAAAACGGAGATTCGGAGCGACGATCCGCGCATTTTCACGTACAACATAATAGTCGGAGCTGCCACGAGGCCGCTGCGTGTGGAGAGTACCTCCTGCAAGCACGTCCGTACCTCGGCCGATGTATTTTTATAGGCATTTTTATTCCGTCTTTTTTTCGCGCTCGCTAAACGAGCTCCTCTCTCTAGACTCTACATCATACGCCCGTTCGTTTCGAAGCTGTGTTATATGTGTATGTGTATATTATAATCGCAGTTCCATGCTATATATAAACGCTTGCGTACGCTATGTGTGTGCGAGCGAGACAGAGACAAAGAGAGAGAGAGAGAGAGAGAGAGAGAGACCGGTTGGTCCACTCTTTCGCGCGCTCAAGCACACGCACACACACATAGCGCACACTCTTTTTTTACGCTTATTTTTTTTACTCGCTCTCCGGGCAATGCTGCCAACCTTTAAATTTTCGCTACTCGAACTCGACGACGACGGCGGCCAGCGGCAGCGGCTGCGCTCGACTCCGAACGGATACGCGGATTATGCTCGCACACACACACACGCATACTAGTGCACGCACGATGCGGACTGAATAATCATCGGCGGCGTCGCGATCATCATCCTCGACGACGATAGCCGCAAGTTAGCGCATATATTCCATACACCTCTTGCGTGCATGTGTGAGCACTTCCTGACCATCCCCCCTCTTGGCGAGTGCGACGATGCGTCCTCGGCGTCGTCCTCCTCTTCCTGCTGATGCTCGTGCGCGAGCAGCAACCAGAGGAGCGAGCCGGATAAAAAAGTCACTCGTGCGCTCGATAAGATTTTGTTCTCTCTGTGCCACGTATAGTCCTGTAGGCGCGAGTATACAAGCTCGAGTTACGAGACGATCGACGCCACGTGTGCCTCTATGTGTGCTCGCCGAGTGGTGCACCTATATGCGTGTATACACGTATACGCGCGGCATAAATATGTATGAGGCTCGAGCCAGCGAGCCGATATTCTCTCTGTCTCATATTGTTCGACGCATTTACACACGTGTGCGCAGAGTGCGATCACTAACACGCACACATGCACAAACGTACATAGGCTGTCCCCACGAGTAATGTAGAGAGGTCGAAGGCCAAATTACGAGCTCGACGCTGCATATTCATTCTGACGCACACACAGTCACACTTGCCGCTGCTTTTCAAGCCTCATTGACTCTTCTTTATATATATTTATGCGAGCGACTGCGCGCACCTCTTTACATTTATATATTTCGAGCGCGGCTAACGAAAACAATAAAACAAAAGAGGGAGAGAGAGGAGAAAAACGCCGATACAGACCGATCGATTTATAAATTTGCCCGACTCGAGGAGCTTTATATAATTATTATCGGCCGCCACTTAATGAGCTTTACAAACTCGCGCTTTCAAACTGCTTCTGCTGCGCGCCGACCTCTGCCCTTTCGCCGATCAAGGAAACGCTGCCGCGCAGCTATGATTCAGAACTTTATACACGTATTGCACGCATCGCTCGAGCGAGCGAGCATAAATGGACTGCGTGCGACTCACTTAATCGGCCTTTTTCGAATCGCAGCTGCTATATACACGACCCATTGTCCAGTCGAATAAATTATTCACTTTTTTTTCGTTTATTTCTTCGACTATTTTGCTCTTGCATTTTTATCTTGATTGAAACGTCGCGCAAGGAAAGAGGCTCGTCTCGATCTGTGTCGTCCTTTCGTTAACGTACGTAACGTAATAAAAGCAAAAAACGATCGCGTTCGTATAGACGATGGAAACGAGAAGTAAAAACCTCTCGACGATCTTGAGGAATATTTTTTGTTTCCTCGACGTTGACATTCGAGATGAAATGAATTTTATTATGCATACGGCAATGAACGTCGCGCTCGAATACTGTCCTGCGAAAGAAATTAACGAGGATCGCGGCAAAGGGGAATGATATACTCTATCGATTTATCTAAGTTTTTTAATTCCAACAAAGCAATGATAAAAATTAGCAGCAAAAATCAGTCGAGCTCTTGGCCTTGGGTTTTGATACTCAAGGCACGAGGAAAAATTGCTCGACGGGTCACGCCGAGTAATATGTCGAGCTGTCAAATCGAAGCTTTGATTCGTTAATAGCATTTTCAACTGATAATACTCTGTTTACACACTCTCGGATCCTTCAGAAAAATTAACGCATGTTAAATTTGGTAAACATCATCCGAATACGTTTATAATGTGTTGTCTCGTGACAATTTCCAATGGAGACGAATAAATACGTTGTATTGTATTGGAATTTCTGACAAACGCGGGGCTTTGGAACGTTGCTCGTGTCGCCTCAGTTCCGAGCGACTCGTTTTCTCTGCAATTGTGTATAATCTCCATATCTATCTATACGGTCTGCGCAATGCTTACAAATTTCGGGAGCTTAGGAAAACAAACACGCGGCCAAAAATGACCTGCTTAACGATCGATTAAAGAAATAGCTGTGCTCTGACTAGCATATCTCTCGAATTTGACTCTGCGAGTAAAGCCGAAGATTTTGTCAAAATAATATTTGTATAAATTAGTTTGAGGCGCGGGTACGCGTGTTCTTACGAAAAATCTCGAAAATTCGAGAAAGCTCGAGAGTTGCTCGACACGCTACCGAAATCCAAAAGCGCGTATCGTACAAGTACACGCCTGCACGCTTCATCGAATAAAGAAAATCTCGAACGTCTAGCGATAAAATGTATGGGAGCTGCTGGCACATAGGTATGACGTGTTTTTGTGGCCCCGAAATTTTTTTCTTGTCTTTATAGAAATGATGTGTATTTTTGTCACACTCATCGACGAGGAATCCTGGTCTCTTTTCGTTATTTATTTTTATTCACGTCGGCGGAATTGTGCGATAGCGAATTTTTTCGTGTGTATGTGTGTGTATCTTTCGGTGCAGTTACTTATGCAACTAACAAAACAATATAATGAACAAGCTCGACGAAGAAATCATTCGATCGATCGTCGAACATACGAGACCGGAGAGCTGTAAAATACGCGATTGCGATTCGAATCCTTTTTCCGGCACACGCACACACATGCACTAAACACTGGCAAACTTGAAAAAAATGACGAAGAAGAAGAAAGAAAGAGAGAGAGAGAAAAAGTCGAGAGGGTTATCATCAAAGTTGGCGGGTCACTTACAGCGAGAACGTAAACAGCCTATCTGCGTGTAGGCTGCCAACGAGAGCTCAATGCGATAAGCTCTCGTATGTACAGCAGAAATTTTTTGTAAAAATTATATATAGGGTCGCAGCTTTTACGTAAGCGTCAGAGAGCCGGATCATCCACAAGACGTATACCTCTTATTTATGGCGGCATCTTTGTAAGCCGTAATTTCGCAATTGTCAATTGCAACTCGTACTCGCGTTTCAATTCGATAAGGGGGGCGTATATAATAAACGGGGGCGCAGGCCAGCGGCGGCTCGGTTGAAAAATTAAACGGCGATCGCGAGGGTAACGCACGTGGCTTATATCATTCGACGTGTACCTATCTCTGTCGGACGAATGGGCTAGCCGTAAGCTAGATTCTAATTAAGCCAGCCCATTGCAACGTACGGAGGCGCATCGATCATTCCTTGTAACTTTGGTATATATATATGTAGCCGAAGGAGGCCATGCAGTGCCGCTCGAATGACTCTGTATGTGTGTGCGAGCCCTTTAAAGTATTATCCTCGCGGTCGGCCGACGTTTTCATTACTGCGCGCGCCTCGACTATTTCAGGCGATGCAGCCAATGATTACATTATTACGTACGAGTCGCTACCTGTCACTTCGGCCCTTCATTTTTCCTATAGCCATAATAATATTGTGCCTACTTGCTCGATTCCGCTGTAGCAACGATCTCTCGGCGAAATATTATACACGTGTAGGCTCGACGAGTATCGAGCTTTCGACGTTACGAGCTTGAATAAATTAAAAACACGTCCATTTGCGTATTATGGCGCGGACGACGTAAAAGCTCGGTAAAAATATGGCTCGGCAGTTCCACACGTTTATGTACGCGTTCGTTCCTGCATGACATGATATTATATAGAGCTTGCGACCAACTCGCTGTATTGGCGCACGCAACGCCTTAGAACGTCTTTTTCATTTCGACTCAGGGACTTGACCGATGGCAATTAAAATTGCGTATAAACCGGCTCGATGCTTCGAATCGAGCTCGAGTTTTGGTAAAATATTGCATAGACTCGCATATTGTTATAGCTATGATGACTTTGAAGGATATCTTGGGATGGGGAATACACACCTCGGCAGCGGCGGCCTATTTCCATCAGTGCACAATTGATGGTGTAAACAATCGATCATCCGAGCGATCGCACGGTATGTGCACGATATCTGCCATAAGACAGCTGAGCACGTGCACATATTTGCAGGCGAGAAACAAACTGGCTAGCTCTCTCCGACTAGCCTATACCATTTCTAACCCTGTGCGTGATATACTTTTGCGCCCTTTACGTTGCTGAACGCGTCGAGTCTCCTGCATATATGCATGGCCCAGAATTGCAGCGCTATTGGAGCTTTGACGCGCCTCGAGCACAGCGTAATATCGACGCGAACCAACTCAAAGTTTAACCAACTCCTCAAGCATGCGTAATAATTTAGGAGGCATACACACGAACGTACGGGCTGCTATGCAATACATATATACAGCCACACCTGTGCGTATATGAGCCAAATTTTACTGTACGCGCGGCACTCGTCGCGTGCACGAGCGAGTTTATTATAAAGAGACTCGACTCCGCAACAGGGCCGACGACGCGCACGCAGCTGCACGGAGCGCGAAAAAAGACGAGCAAAATTTTAAGCCGGCCACTCTGCATCGTGTGCATGTGTGTACGATAATACGTTTGCGTACTTACTTTATATACTTTTTAGTTACATACTTTACGGAACCTCGCTAGCGGCCGAGGAGAAAGTATGTAATATCTCGGGACGATTTGTACTTGCAGCTTTCGCGAAGTAATCGATGCGCACCCGGCTCTACTCCGTACCACCGCTGCTATTTTTTTTTCTTAATTAGCTCGATTCATTGTTCATGTGCGCGATGTATGTACTTACGCATCCAGTCCGCGTTTTAGATTCAATGTAATTACGTACAGGCCAATTTTTGCCCGCGCTAATTACGATATACGCTCGAGCCAACAAAGTATCGAAAGATCGACTGGCTCGATCGGCAAAGAAAAGCGATGAAATAGCCTCTTCCTCGACCGAGAGGATCCCGACGAATTGCGTATTTTTATTAAAGCTGAACGCAAGAAGTGAATCGTTATTCCGAGCCGACCGCACCTTTCGACGCGCGCGATCTATGTAGTGTGTCCATTTGGAAAAGCCAGTGGCGCGCTCATGGCAAACGAGACTCGCCCTTAAATTCAATATATAAGGTGCAAGCACGCGACAACGAGCATCGTTAATACTGCCTACGCTCTATACCATCCAACGCGCCGATATACGTATACATGAGCTTTGGAAGATATCACCCGCGAGCTGCGTGTACGTACGTACGTACCCTCGTATAAAGAACAGAAAGAGAGAGAGAGAGAGAGAGAGAAAGCACGCAAACTTTGCAGGGTGCGGTCTTCCTCCACCTTCGCTCGTATACGAGCTTTAGCAGCTACACCCTATGTCGCTCTTCTTTTTTTTTTCTCTTTCTCTCTCTCTCTCTCTCTCTCGTCTCTCTTTGTTGCAATCGATATTATGTGTAAGGAAACGGTCCCATGCGCTGTTATGACACGACTTACTTCTTACTTCACCCCTTTTGTAACACTAACTACAATGTACAAATTTTTTTCATTTTTTACAATCATACAATTTGAAACGACATTTTTTCTAGAAAATCAACAATTTCGACTGCATTTATTATAATTTAATAACAAACGATACAAGAGATACAAAAACTTAACAAAAACATTTTCAATCGATCAGACACGAGCATCGTTAAAATTATTCGTGTTTTTCAAGAACACGTACGGATTTGAAATTCGATTTAGCTAAATTTTACAGTTGTTTCATTTCCTACAAGTTATTTTTACAATCTTATAAAATTTGTAATAATAATTAAATTAATACGATGCATAACTAAACATTTACAATTGACAACAATTCATACATTACATTGAATGTAATTTGATTTCTAAACTTTTTCTACTAAAGTTTTAGTACAAAAATTTTCAAAAACATACATTTACAATAATTATTCCAACGCCTTCAATTTTTCACGCACAAGCAATAATTGCCTTTTCACTTCAAAAGCAACAATACCTAAAGCCATTCCTGCATTTAAACTATCTACATTATTATCCAGAGGTATGTTTACACGAACTCCTTTTCTAGAGTTAATCAAATCATATGACTCTTGACTCAATCCTTCTGTTTCACCACCCACAATCAAAATAATCTGGTTTTGTGTGTAATCAACGGAATAGTATGGTATAACAGGTATTTGAGTCATTTTTAGAAGTGGATTCATTTTTTTTCTGTAAGTTCTTTTAGGTTTTTCACTCTTTTTTGACTCATCATTTGATTGTACATCTTCCAGATCATTGTCACTATTTGAAGTTTCTTCAATTTCATGTAACAAAACTTTATCAAAGTCTTCATTACTGAAAGTTTCTTTATTGCTATCAGCAACATAAACATGAGCATCACTGTGTATTAGTGAACGAATGTCCTCCCATTCTTGAGAACCATAAATAGGTACTCTGAAATGAGCACCAGCTGCACTTCGCACAACCTTGCTATCCCAAAAATCTACACAGCCTAAGTAAAAGAGTATAATTCAAAATCAAATTATGTTTAGTTTTATAAATAAGCTAAGTAAAATTTATTAAAAAATCTTTTTACCTTTAGTCAACAGAACTTTTTCACATCCAACACCAGCAGCTGCTCGTAAAATTGAGCCCATATTACCAGGATCACGAACCTGATCGCAAATTATGGTAATTGGTAGAGAATTTTTCCTTGATATTTGCAAAGGTTCTGGTTTTTTAAAAACTCCTACAAATATTTAAAACAAGCATAATATTATTCATAAAAAAAATATATAGTAAAATTAAAAAATTATTTACCCATCATTCCTGGAGCAGTTGTCAATGAAGACCATAATTGAATTGTTCTATACGGAACTTTCAATATTTGTGTCTTTTTATCTGATAGGGGTAAATTATTGATATCTTCCCATTGACTAAAAATAATTGTTTCTGCTTTCAAGCCAGCGTCAATAGCATCTTTGATGTAGCGATGTCCTTCAAGTAGAATTTGATTTTGCTTCTTCCGTTTGTTTTTCAACTTTACAGTCATCATAATAGTCCTAATAAAATAAATTTTTTTATGTAAAAATTTGTAACAATAAATTGTGCATACGTGAATTAAAATACATACTTCATGAGTTTTTCATTCGCTTCTAGTTTAGTAGAAATCTTCAGCTTGCGAGCAGGTTCATCCTGGTTTTTGATACTTGTCTCTTCACTAAATGTTATTTCTTCGTCAAAACATACATTGTCTGCTGTTGGAGTTTTTTGATTTACTTGCTTTGGAATTGGTTTCTTTTTGGCTTCTTTAACAGTAGGAGGAGTTGGATGAGCATAATTTTCTACTTCAAACAACTCATCTTCATTGACAATTTTTTTTACTTGTCTTGCACCCCATCTCGCATAATTTTCAGTTTGTGTAATTAAAAGGGGTGACTCGGTTACAAGTAATTTTTTGATTCCTCTCAAATGTTTCACTATCAATTGTCCTCGTTGCAGCAACATTTTACCTACGTCGTATTTCAATTAATGACAATCTAATGAATGTTTACGTTATTTTAGGTTAGTTTCATAACACAAATACTGGAGTTTCGATAAATTTTCAATAATATCGAAAGTGACAAGTATTGAAACAAGTTCTTGTGAACAATAACTGAAATAATTCACATGAGTTTCGAAAAAAACTTAATGTTTCACTTAAAACTTTTTCAGTTTTCTATAGAACTTTCAAAGCATCGATAACATGCGAGTGAATTAACAAGTCTAAATGCCGGCGCTCATATAATTCCGCTGGATGCGGTTCATCTAGACGTACGGACCACGCACTTGTTGCAAATCTACGATTTGGAATGTGTTTATAGTGTTATTTACTTATCTACATCTATTTTCACAGCTTTAATTAGTAAACAAAAGAAAATCGATACAGTGGATACGTAATATCTGTGTTATCTTTATTCTATCTATATTTTTAGCCAGCAGCGAGCAAAATTCAAGTTAATAAATAGTTTTAGCTCATGGTAAATTGAACACAATGAAGTGTAAAAAATTAATGAAAGTTTAAAAATTATATATAATCATAAAAAAAAATAACTGAATGTAACAGAATTAGTTAGTTTTTTTAACTATTGTTTACAACAATTAATTTAAAAAATTTTAAAAAAATCGGAAAAATTTTTGGTATTTGAAACGAATTATTTCACGCACGGGTTCCAACTCATTATATAGAGACATTGTCTGTCCCGAGCCGATTACTGGTATGACCCATTGAAAAAATGTCACAGCTTTTTCCAAACCTTGATTCCAAACCTTGACATTTTTTATGATTGAATAGTCATCTTCACATTTTATTAAAATCTGTCGGGAGATAATACGTTAATAAATATGAATTTCGAACCGTTAAAAATCTCATAAAAGTTATAAAGATAGTCTTAGAAGTGTAAATTATTGCTAAATATTTATTTTTCATTTTGCTTCGTGATTTTCAGTGTCATCTCACAAAAATCGCATTTAATTTCTTTATGTCAGCTCAGTTCTTATAAATATTAATAAAACACTTACTTTACGCAGGCAACAAAATAAAAAATTAAGTATGCCAGTCGATCTTATTTCCGATTTGTTACCTTAAGTTGAACGAATTAATTTACATTACACGAGGATTTTCTTGCTAAAAATTGTCAGCGTAGAAGGAATGATTAATACAGCTCGCTCATGGATTTACGTAAAAAGGATCAGGGACATTATTATTTGAATAACAAAAGTCTGCGATCATAGGAATGTTCTTTTTGTCATACCAGCCTTTAAATCACCAATAAAACAATTCGGATTAACTATAAATTGTTTTATTTTAATTTTAAAAATACTTATCAACGTTTAAAATTAATCGAATTGAAAGAAAGACAAATAACTTTAAAAAATGTTGAATTTGTGAATACCTTTACAATTGTGATTACATATGAGTATTTTAATTATTAAAAATTTGTTATAGTATATTACACAACAAGGGAGTAAAAGTAAAGAATGTCTCAGATTAAATGTAATTGTGTATAATTGTGTGATGGTATATCATGTTATCTAAGACAATATCTCCTTTCTCCCGTGTTGTGTATACAATTTTTCTTTATACTTTGGCATATAAATCAAATTTTCCGACCGCGCAGTGGGAGGGAAATTTTGTTTTCGGTCAAGATACGAAGAAAAAATATTTTCTATAATTAACATGAATTATTTTCATGTCTTGATGAGGTCTACAACAGATTTAAGAAATTTCAACGAAATTATTTAGTTCTTTCATAACAAGATCTAATTTATAAAATAAAATAAAATAGGTGAAACTATAAATAATTTGATAAATACTTTTTCTTATATCGAGCCAATTTCTATTCGTTTATTTTTAATTCTTAAAGTTGAAAATTATTGCAGATATAAAGTGCATTTTTAGCGGTGACTAAGATTGATCGATTATTAATATGACGACGATTAAAGACATTTTTAATTCTTTAAAAACACAATCAATAAATAGTTGAATAAACGTGCTGTGTTGTTCGCGCTCATTTTTCATATTCCCTGGTCACAAATTTAAATTTACATGCTCGTAACGAACCCACTTTCGCACGCACACACATGCAGAAACGGCGCTGTATACACTCGATCAAGCTAACACCACGAGTTCAGTTTCAATTTCTTTCTTTTTAAACCAACGAGGTTATAATACACAGCCACGATGAAGTAAGTTCTCTCAGATAATCTGTTTATTTAAAGAAAATCGCGACATTTTTTAAAAATATGAGTTGCTGTCTTGGAGTTATGTTGATATTAATCTATGCGTCGTTGATATTTTCAGGATCGGTTTGTGTGCATACAGTGGGTACAAAATCTACCCCGGCCATGGAAAAACTATGGTTAAGGTCGACGGAAAGGTATTTGCTTATTACCAAATTTAATACCATTCTTCAATCATTTATGCTATTTTATAACTTTAATCATGAATTTTACTGTTCTTTATACTTTACCATAGTTACATTCATTTCGGTAGAGATATTTTTTATTGTTTTTACATATCCTTTCCTTTTGCTATAATGAACTAACCATATGATCCTGGTTTGAAATTTTTTAGAACTTCACGTTCTTAAACTCAAAATGTGAATCTGCACATTTGATGAAGCGTAATCCACGTAAGGTGACATGGACTGTGCTTTACAGACGTAAGCACAAGAAAGGTCAGGAAGAAGAGATGGCCAAGAAGAGGACACGCAGGACTCAAAAGTACCAGCGTGCCATCGTTGGTGCATCTCTCACTGACATTATGGCCAAGCGTAACATGAAGCCAGAAATCAGGAAGGCTCAAAGAGAACAAGCCATCAAGTGAGTTGTTCACTTTTATTTAAAGCTATTAGATTTGATAATTAAATTAAATTGGTTTTAATTCAAATTCTTCAAGCTGTTGTAAGAATTACAATTTTTTTGCAAAATTGGATTTATTAGACATTCGTTCTTTGGATATGATTTACTGTTTCATATTTGATTTTGAATGTCTTAGATTAATAAATAAAGGGCTGCTTCACCCAGGATTGCGAATACGTATAGTTTTTACGTGATAACACTGTCTGGCTTTGCGGGTCCTTACAAATACATACAAATACTCAAAATATCTTATGTGATTAACTTATATTGCATTTATTAACATTTCAAATATTTAATTTCAGGGCTGCCAAAGAGCAGAAGAAAGCAGCAAAGGCTGTCAAAAAGGCTGCAGCTCCCGCTAAAGTGAAACCCATCAAACAGAAGGCCACTAAAGTCCAACAAAAGTCGGCTCCAAGAGTCGGAGGAAAGAGATAATTTATTTCTTACAATTAATTTAAAAAAATAAAAAAATTGTTGAATAAAAACAAATAACTTTTTCATTCAATGTCCCATAAATATCTCCTCACTCATTGCAAAAAAATTAAAAAAAATCCAAATGAGATATAATTTTGATCCATGCAAAATAATTTGTTTACTTTTAAACATAAATCTGAGAATGATCATGATTGATTTTATGAAGTAAATGAATCAGACTATACTAAGTTGATACCTTGTTGTACATAGAGACCCTGAAACTTCTAGCGCAAATATATAGCTGGAATATAGGATTTGAATAGATGAAGAGCAAAGTTTATCATGTCTCTGTCATTTTCAAATAATGTGATATTGACAAATTATATTAGTATCTAAGGAGGTGCTGTATGAATTTTGACAATTACTTTGAAGCCCAGTAACCATTGACGTTTCTCAACCTAATTTACTAACTTTGTGTATAAATTAAATCTCAATTTGTGTCTGAGGAAATAGTCAGTGAGAACATTTTTTTAAAAATGGTGAATTAATTGGTAATCAATTATTCTCATTATTAAGAAATTTTAACTAAAAAAAATTATTTGAAAATAAAAAAATTAGGATTATTTTTGAATTTCGATAAAAAATGAAGAACAATTACAACTATTTAAATTTTTCGTTTATTTGTTCGTCAGACATGTATGACTTATGAGCGTATTGACTATTGATGCCTATAAGCCCTTGGCAGTTCGGGGCGCTGTACAGCGCTCACAAGGCCTATAAGCCCTAATCACCTAGTGGAATCATTGCGAAGCTCAAAGCTGTCTGCAAGAACATACGCAATCTTGGTAGACATCGTCCGAGTTCGACCGCCGACGACAAATAATTCCAACCTCTAGTACATCACTATAAAATGTGTAAATAAAGCATTGGAAAAATAATATAAATTCAAAATGCTTGCCCAGTCACTATTAAGTAAATGCCTGACAGGTCAGTACATTTTTTTTATTAAAATGATAGTAGTTGTCATTAAAATTAAATTTTACTTTCAAGGCATCAAAAGCATTCATAATATGTATGGGTATTGTATACCTGTGGCTGGACTCAAATATTTTCGTCCACCTGTCAAATATGGCAAGTACTTATAATTTATCAAAAGTAGTTTTTGTTTATTGTTATTGAGTCTTAAAAAAAATATGCGAATTATTATTTAGATGTGGAAGCTCCGCCTGACACTCGAGGACACAAGTTGCCTATTCTTCCAAAAGTACCACAATATCCACCACAGTTGAAACCTTTCAAAATGCAAAGAAAACTAAAGCTTATGAGAGGTCCAGAATTGGTATTAAATAAGCTATTACACAAACAATATGGTGTTATTGTAAGTATTCGAGTTATACATTAAATTTTTTATTAAATCTATAGAAAAATTAAATAATAAAAAATAAATAGGCTTTGATAGGTGGCAGATTAAGATACGGTCACACAGAAATGGTCAGGTGGACTTGTGGTAAAAAGTTACCCCATAGTGCTTTCAGTTTATGGCGTATTGATCCTCCATGGCAGCCGGTGACTAGACGGGTAAATTTCATAATATTTTAATCTGGTGTAGGGTTTTATTCAATTATAATGTGGTAATCAATTATTTATGTAGGGTCATGGTGTTCGAATGGGTGGAGGAAAAGGATCCATTGATCATTATGTTACTCCTGTTAAAGCTGGACGCGTCATAATAGAAGTTGGAGGTCCCTTTGAATATGAGGAGGTAATTTTATCTTGAAGACTAAACATGAATGACTTATAAAAATGTATCATGCAAATGTTTTATAGGTGAGAAAAGTATTAGAGGAAATAGCTCACAAATTACCATTCAAAGCTATGGCTGTTAGTCAAGAAATCCTAGATCAAATGCATGAAGATGAGCGTTATATAGAAGAAAGTAATCAAAATCCTTACACATGGAAGTATATGATACAAAACAATATTGGTGGTTGTCATCAGTGGATAGCACCAGTTGATAAATATTGGTACAATAAGCATAGATAAAATTGTTAATTTATAAGATTAATTTGAACTCTGTTGTTGGAAAAATTTTATACATTTTTAAATGAGTTTTTTAAAAGCCATTCAAAAGTCAAGATTTTCAAATAAAGTAATGATCAAAACAGTTGATAATTAGAAAATTTAAATTGTAATATCCATCTAACCTTTTTTTATATAATGTAAGGGAAATGGGTTAAATGAAGTAAAGCCAATCTTTTATGATACAATGACAATTTTTTTATATCTTTGACGAAGGTTCGGTGGTAACAACAGGTAAATACTACATATTGTACATTAAGTAGGCAATAGTCGTATCTTATCAAATAGTGATGTTTTTATTTTTATTTATTTTTATTTATTTATTTTTTTAAATATATTTCAGCATGATATATATTTAATGGTTAAGCAACGACTACGACCAGATGTGCATGTGTTAAGAGGCGCAACAATGACAACCTGGACACATTAAATGTCGTTCGTACGTTATACAAATATATAGTGTAGCGCAGCGACGGCAATGCTGTTTATTAATGTCAACTTTTATCTGTAACAATGAAAGCATCGGTTACTCTAAGTAATAATTAACAATGAATTGTGTTATCTTTCATGGACCGAGAAAGTAAGCGATGATTTATAATGCCTTCGCGATGAACAGGGTCGTTGTCGTTGCCTGCACCGACAAGAATCGATTTTTTTTTCTCTTACTTATTTCTGGCGCACTGCAATAGCGTATTAATATAAGTTATGCTACATTTACTTAATTATTTTTTCATTTCAATCTTTCACTGTTATATTTATTTTTTGTTCGTGCTTAGATTTACTTATATTTTATCAATAGGTATTAGAGCGCGACAAGTCGTGCCAAAGGAATGATTAATTCAAGTCTTTGTTTTTCTGTTCTTTATTGTATGCAGATATTATGTTATCGTCCTGCTTGAAGTTTCGTCATCCCTCGATATGGCTTAAGATGATTCGTGAAATCTACTCCTTTTTTCAAGTTACATCAATTTTAAATGATTAATTACTGACTTTTTTTTAATTTTGACGAAAAAATATTTTGATGATTAGAAAATAGTTCAGATTAACTAAAAGGGACAAATAATGAATTAAAATTGATTCTTCATTTCTCATTGTACATACCGATATGTATTTTTACTTTGTCAGGATATTTCATCAATATTATTATTTGTTTTCCGTAAGACTGTGTCTACGCAATCATGCAAGCACATACTTCTTACGTGTCACTTGGTAATCGAATTGCTATACATGATTTCTAAACCACGTCGGTAAAATATTTTTTACTCTTTGCATGATAATGGTGTCTTGTAATTGAGACTATACACAGTTATTATTATTTTTATAGAAATGGATCGTTAAAACAGAAGATGAAATTCATTTGGTTGCCTCAAATATTTTGAAAAAATCCTCAACTCGTAGCATTGCCAATTCCAACTAAAATGTATTTACAATACGTTTTTCTCTTTACAAAAATTGAATGAGACTACTACCCAATTAACTTATGAGAAGTTTATAAAATGTATAAGCGATCAACATTGCCACTTAGAAAAAAAAACATAGGCAATTTTTTGATAATTCACCGTCCGGTAAGTCTTAATGACTGCGTGAATTTCAGTCCACCATTCACATTTTTATATTTGCTCGTCAATTTATTATTTATAATACTTTGTCATGGAAATTCAATAATATGCAAGACGCCATGTTAATTATTTATAAAATTTTCCGAACTTGTACGAAGCGAACTTTAATTATTATATTTAACGCGTGAAATCGTAATATTTTCACAAGCTCATTTATTAAAACAAAAGCACTCGCTGCACCATAATTAAACGACAGACAGTTCAAAGTGTTCTCCAGAAATTAAGAAAATAACAATTATACATAGGTTTGACAAATAGCCGTATCAAGCTTGAATCTAGTTCTTTAGACAGTACATTATAAATTTAGTTCATTAGGGAGAGCAGACACGCGTTCACATTTGTATACAATTAATCGATTTAATAACAGTGTCAAATCACGCATTGTACACATATCATTATTATATATTTTTTAGTTGCTGCTTTAACACTGCGCAGGACTAGACTCTTATTGTTAATATTCATATATTTATGTATATTTTTCATTTATATATTTTCATCTATCATCCGTTTTCTTTTATTATGTTATTTCATCTATAGAAATGTTTTTTTCTCTCGTTATTTGTCTTGCATGGAAATCTTTTCATTAATTATAATAATAAGCGATGTGTTTGTATATATAATTATTCATATATTTGTAAATATATATAGGTGTGTGTCACACATTTCTGTGCTATACTGCATGTAATAAGCATTTATTTTTCGCCTTAATTCGCATCTATCGGTAAATATCTTTTGTGAATTATAATAATATGCATTTTTAGAGTTGATAAACCTGTCTCCATAATCGTCACTTCCCATTCGGATAATGGCATTCATCACTTCAGCGTGGTTGATATGAATTATATACAAAAAATAAATCTTTGAAGCAATTCAAAGTGAAATATGATCAATTGATGCTAGGTACAAATTTACGTTCTTGATATGCAATTACGCATTAAAAGAATTGTGTTCATACTGAATTAAAAATAATTTTTGATACAATGAAGTATAGCAACTTAATGGTTTTTTAGTTTAATATTATTTACGGCTAATACTATAATTTTTAAAGCTCTCTTTTTATAGCAAAAAAGTCAAGTCACGCAGACCTTACAATGAAACAAAATATACAACTTCTTTTAACCAAGACCTGTACGAATAAGCTATAAGCTCTCTAGAGTTGGCATACACATTATCGATAGAGCATTACATTATGTTTTGCATTTAGAATTTTGGTCAGGACCTTCTTAAATTCGATGGCACTCGTTGACTGCATGAAGTTCATGTACAATACGATATTATGCGCAAAATTCATCATTGTATCTGATTATTCAGCATGAAATTCTACCATACTTATCATTAAATAAGCTAATTTTTCGGTAAAATTGGTCGTTTTGTACAAATCAAAAAGAAATATTTAAGTACACACATATATTATACTTGCCAAAAAATACTCTTGTTAATTTTGAATATATTTTAATTATTATGTAATTGATTCAATCTCAATATATACAAAATAAAATAGTTATATGAAAAATAATTAGCAACCTGATAGCCAGCCATATCAATGTTTCAAATAATTTTTTCAATAATCTATCAATCATATTCTTCATTCATTAATGTAATTTGAATAATCTTATTGTAATATCGTTTTTAAATTGTTACACTGTTATGACACATCGTTGCAAGCTAAAAACGTGCACGTTTGAGACTTGTGAAGTAGAAAACAATAACAAGTGATAAGTATACTTTTCTTTCTTTTGTATCAAAGGGATTCATCATCGTAAAAATTCGATACTTATTTTTTTACTGGTACTGAGCATTCAGCAAAAATAATCGATCCTCGGATGCACTAGGCGATATACATGTTTAGTGTACCGATTTTTTATTTATCCATCGTCCGTTGCGTCCTTATGTATACATATATCATATTTATATTATCGAATTTCTTCGACAAGTCGATATGAGTTATTTTATAAATGTATGGCATGAACTAATTTAAAGATTATCTCATATAATGAAAACAAATGAATGAAAAGAATCAAAGATTTAAACATTTTCTGTGCAATATTTGGATCAGTGCGGAAGACATTTTTAATAATACTTATGAATCGTTATTTTAGAATACAAATGCACGAGCAAGACTGAAAGCAATAGAAGAATTTTTTCTGTTAGAGGAATCATAAAGTGGCGCTCGTATAGCAACTGTTTCAATGATTAATCTTTTAAAAACAATTTTCGATTCAAATTTTTGAATAATTTTTATAAACATTATCGTATATTATATACAGTCTTAAAATTTAAACATTTATAAACATCACAACGTACGGCAGATCATGTGCAGTGACAACCGATACAGTATAACAATATATCATTGAACCAGAGTAATATTTTTATAATTCATTTTTTCCGGAGACATAACAAAAGGCAGTGAATGCAGTCATAGACAGTTGAATATTCAATAAATCTTAATAAAAGCAACCAATTTTCAATTATCATTTAAAACCATATTTCTCATAATTGTAATAAATATAATAAATCTGTGAATAGATTATTTTCATACCTTTTATAAAAATTGAATCGTTGCTCGTACACATATAATGTACTGCCGTACCAAATATAAGCTATATCTACCCAATCACGATTTAATTGAAGCATTCACGCATCAATATTTACTTTTATATTAATACTGGGTTTGTTATATAATATCGAGGCGTATAAGCTATTTGTTCTATTAGTAGTTTCCACCGAACATCTCCAGCGTAATATTTATATAACTTTTTTCCTAAACATTTTCAAACAAGTCGCTCGTGTTAAATTGAACACATATTATACAATACACTGTAAGCCTTATTCTTTTGATACTTATAGAAGTTATTCTAGCACTGAAGACACACACCTACTACGCATTCCTTTAATTATGTCAACTGAATACGGGACCGAAAATATACCATTCATACGCATTACATTAATCTCGCCTGCAAATATTCATGAAGTACAAGTGAATCGTTCAAGCCACGATTAATCACACAAATTGAAATAATATATTACATCGCAAGTATATACAAATCATTTCTTTGTACAAAAAACTATAATAATCATCTATTCGACTTAATAAAATATACGTATTCCAGAACGAGTGAGCCTTTTTCGATTCACGCGTTGAAAGAAAGGCTTGTTACACTCGTTACAACGAAAGATGAAGTACACCAAGACAACTCGAAAATTTCGCAAGCTTATAAATTTATAACAGCTTGTAAAACCCTGCGATACGAATTAGTCTTGAGCAACTTGCACGCACGCATACAGAGTTTATTTAGAAGCGCATAACGCATATGTGGGAAAGTTATGGCTTTTTCATTTTCTTTCAGCCCATCGATGTCGTCGTATAAAAGCATCGCATTCATTCAGTCTCTTTTATATGCAAATATATATATATATTTTCTTCGTTTATATACTTATATTGATAAATCGGGTGTATGAGAGCGTGAGCGTGTGTAAGATATTATATTAAATGCATTGTGAATTAGTGTTTTTTTTTCACCTAAATCTTCATGCAAATACTAGTAAAAGATTTTTCTGCATTGGAAATTTTATTCTTCTTGCTTAGGGTAACACGAAAATTTCCCTTTTCATTACTTTTAATCATACGCGATAATTATGTTTCATACGTTTTCGCACTATCAAAGCTGACTAGATAAGAAACGACTCGAGCGCCTAAGCTAGACACAATTTGTCAATTAGACAAATGATATTCTTGGAAAGAAATAAATGCTTTACGCATCTAATCTTTCAAACTACAATTAAAAACCACCCTTCGACTCATTCTGATTTTACTCTATACCTACTAACCCTTTTTTACATACCCTCATACTTATTGCTCATCGTTTCTGTTGTTTAATTTTTTTTTTATTTTCTTCAATAAATGGGGTCGAATAACCATTGTGTTCGAACTGGTTCTCAAAGTGCCAAACTACAATTCATCAGTTTTTTTTTAAACAAATTCTCTATCGATTTAAGCCGAAAAGTCCGATTTTATGTGCGTTATGTAAAAACGATTCTTATTGCGCTAGCTGACGAGCATAATCATTGTCATGGTCATTATTATCGTAACGACCTTCGTTAAGCTCCGTGATAGCTACGCATTTAGGCCTGCCCTAGGCGTTCGATTCTTTTAAATTGTCAAAATACTGCATGATTTGATTGTAGTCCATGTCTAGATTTAGTTCGTCCAACGTCGAGCCACCAGTAGTAGGGGCTGTAATCGATGATGCCGATGTCTCTTGCTGTGGTTGCTGCTGTTGTTGGTTATTATCGTTTTGCGACGTATTTCCCGACGACGAATTATTCGATGAATCTGATGAAACGAACATCGGATTTCCTACAACAGTGGCTCTTTTCGATTCGCGCGAACGACCTCTTTTATGACGGATTTCGACGTCCCTGCTGCGCCCCTGCGATAAAAACAAAAATGAACAAAAAATTATAATTGTCCGTCATTGCGGTAGCATAAAAATCCATGTTAATGCAATCTTACCGATTTGCCACGGACTTCTACAAAAATCTCATCAGCGTTGGAATTTTTATCTTTGTCGTTGATCACGTCGTTGGACACTGCTGCACTGTTGCTGCTACTTCGTGATCTGCCCGATTTCGAGCGATGATGATGATGCTTGGAGGATTCGTGACGCGACCTCGGCATATGATGATCCGAGCCATTGCTGGGGTTCGACGCCGGAGCAGCTGTTGCAGCTGCAGCATTATTGCTACTACTACTCGCCGCGCGTTGATGATGATGGTGACGATGACGTTTGGGCGTCTCCGGCATGAGACGGCTACCTCGATGGGGAGGTACCGGTGGCTTGTAATCTTCGTTGCCGTTGTCCGACATGGCCGATGATATTTTGTGGGGTGGCAAGGGTGGCGCTGCAGTTTCGTTATTTCCGCTGCGCCGAGGAGAACAAAAAGTTAAGACGTCAGTTTTTTCGGATTTGAAAAAAATTCGAAGTGAAAATGAGTCCGACTGTACTAACTTGTCGCGAAGATGGCTCGTGCTTCTTGCGGACGATTTGGAAGATAAGCCACGATGTTGGCGGTCTCGTTTGCAATAAGTCGTGGAGTCGATAGGAGCCGAGGCCGAGCTACTCGAACGAGCCGGTGGCAATTCGACGTGATGCGGATTATCGAAGCTATTCAAAGCTTCTTCTTCGGGTTCGGCAGCAAGCGGATTGCTCGTTACTCTTACCTGCAAATTTATCATTTCATTAACGAAATTCATCTTGATTTAAAAGCTTACGGTAGTAATCGAGATTTTCGATGTACACATATACAGACCTGCTGGGGAGCACACGCGGCACGTTCGAGCGTCGCCCTGCCGAGCCATACCCAGTCGTGGGCATTGGTCGTGGACTCGCGGGGCTGCCTGTTGGGTCGCAGATTGTGATTGCTGGCGAACTGGCTGGCGGCGGCGCGGGCGGCCTCGAGCACCGGCAGAGCCGCTGAGTCGGAATTCGTCGGCGACACGGGCTTGAGCTTGCTCGCGTAGACCACGCAGGCTCCCACAAAAACGACGATGGCGAAGCAGAAGGCGGCCAAGAGCACGTACATGCCTATTTCCAGCGGGGTCATGTGGTGGTCGGTGTTGGGACGAATACCCACGCCTCCCATGCCTGCGGACGATAGTAGATGCATTTAATAGCCAAATTAAATTTCTGACGCTCGAATGCACCGCTTCAAAGTGATTCGAGTATTTACGATCGATTCTCTTTAGGTATGCATCTCAAGCTTGAAACTTTCCCAATTATCGACTCAGCGATAATATTACGTATTCTTAATAAATCCTGACTTATCGAACATTCGCAGATCATCGATAAAGGCGATTAGTAAAGCATTGATATGATCGCTTACCAATGAGTATGTCCTGAAGATCCGGAGCCATTTCTCTGTTTCCGGCTTTTCTCTCGCGATGATGAGCGCTCAAACCCAAATTGCCACCCCCGTCGTTCTGAACGAACTCGGGCCGGCTGGGCAAGTCACTCGATGCAAAGTCCACTTCGACGTTGGCGGTCGCCGACGCAAGGGGCGTTGCCACGTTGGAAGACGCCGAGGATGACGACGCCGCCGACGACGACGACGACGAGGACGACGATGAAGATGCAGTGGAGGCTCGGGCTTGCGGCGAACTCGACGACTTGCCGCGACGACCGGACGTTCGACATGCGTCGGCCAGCTGAAGACTCACTCGCAGCAATTCGCCGCGTCCCTCGCCGACGGCTATCACGCGCGGATGATGCGAAGCTGCCATGGGCGCGAACGCCACCACGTCTGGATCGAGACTCTCAACGACCAGTTGATAATTCGACACCTGGAGTCACATGAAAATGTTTACTTTTAGAGAAAATAAAAAAAACCGATCTCATTGGAAACTAACATTTTTCAGAGCTTTAAAATAGAAATATCCACGTATCAAAATTTTAATTAAGCATGGTTCAGTAACCCGCAGGGTGTTATTTATAAATACGAGATTTCCTCCGACTTTTTTGTCCTCGTCCTATTTCAAGCGTCGTTGAATAACGAATGGATCTGGGCGAAGTACATCTTCAAAACGGATATCGGAAAGTTACACTTAAGTGCAAAGCTTCGAAGCAGTGGCGTGAATTAATGCACTCGCATACATGCGCGCACACATATACACCCTGACACAAGTAGAGCAGGATCGATTCAGTCAGACGCGCCGAAGGAGAGAAAACGAGCGAGCTCGAATATGCGCGTCGTTTGCAGTTGTGTATACAGGCCGTTTATACCTAGGCGATCTGGCTTCGTAGAAAGTGTAAAATTATTCGAGCATCCGATTGTGTAATTAAATCAAACTCGTTGAGAAAGAATAAGCCGGTACAATTTGCGATATTGCGCGCCGTCTTTTCGGTGTATTTGCAAATAAGCATTGTCACGCAGAGAAGCTTCGAGCAAGCCGCTTTTGTTACTGCAGCCGCTCGACTTGTTTCTCGCAGAAATCAGTGCATACAAGACAGGAGTAGGCCATAGGAAAAGATAAAAAAAATCTCACCGCAATCTCCCTCAGGGGCGTCCTCGCGCCGTCGGAGAATTCGATATCGATATCCAACAGGCCCTCCTGGTACTGCGCCGTCAACTTCCTCGTGACGGATGTCTCGGCGACGTAGCCGTTCTCGATGGCCGAGTCCGGAGTGATGCTGAGCTGCAGCCCCGAGACGACTTTCACCGAGAGCTGAGTTATGGCCACGCGATCGTTGCCGACTCGGACCTCCCGGGCGCCGATGACGCGGCCGGTGATCGGCGATAGAACCTGCACCTCCGTGCGTCCGATTCCGCGTCCCTGGACGATGCGGCCCTGGAGCAAGGTGGCGATTCGTGGGTCGGAGACTCGCAGGAGTCCCGCGACGAGGTCGGTGACGCGCAGCCAAGTGCGACGATTCACGAAGTACGAGACTCTACCGGAGTCGTGGTCGGCTGCGAGGAATCGGGCGTGCACCTGTGGAGTCGCAAACGAGACATTAAGCAAAAGTTCGGGAAGGTACGATGGGAGTGGCCGCGATGAATTACCTCGACGGGGCTCTGCTGGAAACGCAGCCGACAGCTGCTGCTGGCCGAGGATCTATCGATGGCATTGATCTCGTCCCACTTGTCGGCGCTGCGGAAGCGCATCTTGCCGCTTCCTGCGCCCATGGCCTCGGGCTCGTCCACCTCGTCCTCGCCCTCCTCGTCCTCGTCGTCCTCCTCCTCTTCCTCGTCTTCGTCCTCGTAATCGGCCTCGTCGTCTTTGTCGCCGCCGGTGGCCACTTGCGGTTGCTCGGCCAGAGCGGCGCTGCGCTTCTTAATCTTGCTGGGCTTCTTGGCGTCCGCTCGGGACACGATGGAATTAAGATCGGAGGACAAGCTGCTGCGCTTGTTCTTGGCCAAGACATTGTCCTCGGGAACTTTCCAGCCCTTGATCTGATTGAGACGCGTGTCGACCACCGACACTTCCAACGGAAATTCGGGCATCCAGACTGTGAAGCGAGCCAGACCCGTGTAAGTGCCGTATTTAACGAGCACCGAGGCATTGCTCGAGCCACGGATTTCCGAGCCGTCGACGTACACGCTGCTGCACGAAGATGAGACCTAGAATTTTACAAGTTGGGTCAAAAAACTGCCAGAGAATCAAGGGGCGGAAAAAACGAAATATGCTCGTATGATACGTAAACAGAGCGAGCTAGAAACGTCGAGTACGCGAAAAATGGAAAACTCGTAATTGAGACTTGGCTCGAAGTGAAAAATAATGAGGGCTACTTGAGATATTAATCAATGCCCCTTTCGCGGAGATCAAAGGAAAATAATTAGCGCCTCTAGTGCGCGGAGGAGCCGAGGCTTAAACGTAACCCGGCGAATCTTTAATAATACAAGCCTCTCTCGAGAGGTCTCGACAGAAACGACCGGACGACAATAAGGACTAATTCAATGCATAATTAATAAAACGAGTTTAACTCGGGCCCGCAGTTGGCAGGTTCGCGCGCGCTCCGCTCTGCGCCTCGAATACATTATACATCGCAGGATGCGAATCACGAGAATATACATATTTACGCGCTTGTATATATATACAGATAGAGCAGCGGACAAGTGTCGTGTACGTATACATATATGGCTGATTGCCGTATACAAACGCACAACTGGTGGAAACAGTTATTGCGACTAATTAAGCTGGACGATTACCTTAAGTACGCTCTCATCCTCGGAATGACAAGATGATTGGAGCGTGACGTCAGCCACGGTGCCAGCTTGACTGACGATAAACACTTTCATTGCCTGCGATATCTGCCTGCCAGTCAGTACCGCCGTATTGATGACCTCCCAATTCTGCAAAAATCACGAAACAGGCAAAATAACAACAACAGCAGCAACAAAAAAGAGAATAAAATAAAATATTCATCGTTCATCATCCGTCGCGCAAACTCTCGATTCCCAATTGATTTTGATTGCTGATCGCGCCGCGTCTATAATGGACGCTGGCGCCTCTTATATATGTTATGTTATATTATGTATTACACGCAAACGCGCAGCAGCTCCTTTTTGCTCGAATGCGCGCCGAGCGTATAAATGTAAATCGCCTGCAATAAACACGCGCGCGCGTTAAATATTTTTCGACCTCGTCGATTTTCATGATATAATTCGAGTTTCAATAATGTTGCCACCACGGTGATGTACGAGCGTTACAACGCGCAGCGGCACGTATACACATGCATGGTTTTACCCGATGTATATGTAGCGAGTTTAATCAAACTACGCATACTTTGAAAGCGCGACAAGTGCTTCGATTCGAATAACAACAACGCACGAGCTTTGCTTTGCTTTCAATTGCTGCAGCTGGCATGTATGAATTTTAAACTGGCCAAACGCCTATGCTATATCGCCAGCGATAAATGTTTGTGTAATAGCGATTCGATCGCCACGCGATATGACATTAAGCTGCGCGTTTTACAAGAGAGATACATGCCAACGATATAGGAAAATCAAACGAGAGCTCGTAAAAGCAGCGAATAAAAGCGATCATATTGTACCTTGGAGATCGGCAAAACAGCCTGAATATCGTCCTTTTGAATTTCCAGATGAGCTTGGAGCTTCTTTCGGTCACTCGGTCCATTGTGATGGTGATGATGCTGCAGCGGCTGCTGTTGTTGGTACTGCTGCTGCTGCTGTTGCTGCATCTGTTGTTGCTGGTGCGGCTGAGTAAGCTGGAACGGCCCCGATAGCGAGACATTGTCTTCCTCGCCTTCGAGAGCGTAGCGTACGCTCCAGACGATACGGCCGCCGCCGCCGTGTTCCTTGCTCTCGGCGCTCTCCTCGCTGGCCTCCAGCAGCATCGTCATTATTTCCTCGGCCGAGCTGTGTGTGTATGCGTGACACGGACCGAGTTTCAAGAGCGGAAAAAACAGAAGAAAAAGACGGCATGAAAAAAGCGTCATTTTATTATTCGAGTAATTATTATACTCGTCCGCGTTTAATCCGAGTCGCGTACTCTATTAAGAGACAAAAGTCATTTATAAACATATCATGGATGCATGAACATGACGGAGCTGCTCTGAAATATGTATTCATTATGCACGAGCGCTGAATATATAATGTTACAGAGAGCAGCACCGCGAGCATTTTTGTATTCGCGCTAATTAAAACTGGAAAAAATCAGAGCGAGTAATTAGCAAATGTAGCCTTTTAAAAGGGATATTTTTTTTTCATCTCTGTACAAAAAAGTAATACTCCTGATTTGGCATTTTTCGACGCTGAAATTTGCAAAATATTAATTGACTGGCCAAGTCCGTTTCATAGAAGACCTTCAATAACGTTATTACAAATGAAGGTGCGCAAAAAAATAAATAATGCATGATGAATTTTCGCGTTGGAAAAGTCCAAAGGGAGAAAAATTAGCTGGAGCAACGACTTGTACATTTACAATAAAATTGGGTTGATTCGATTTAAAATCCAGCTAATGAATAATTATTTCACCTCGACTAGTTAATCGAGTTCATCTAAAGGTCATAATGTACATCTCCGTCGAGAATCAATAAATCCACTTTTTGTGTTTTCCAACGATGCGCAATATAATTGATGCAACCTTAATGATACTTTTATTTTGAAATCTGCATAAGGTGTGCCCCGTTCTCGCTTGTCGAATCGACTTTTGCAAAGAAAATTGTAATTCATTTGCTAGATAGAACACGAAACGTAATCATAGGTTTCAAAGAAAATCCGGTGTTTGCATTGCCATGCACTTTTAAGCTCTGCTCTCGTCTTGCGCTTGCGACGAGAAAGAGAACGAGAGCTATGAATTTTGCGCTAAATGACGAGGAAGAGAGCGGCCGATGTAATTAATTAAATGTTCCTTGGGCAAACGTTTACTTACGCGTTCGGCAGCCGGGAGATGTTTTCTTTGCGCCTCGCCGTGAAAGTGGCAGCGGTATTCTTTGTGTTGATGTCGGTCTCGACGATCCAGTCGGGACTGCTCGTGGAGGCGTCCAAAATCTTCACTCCGGCCTTGACTCTGGCTCTGAAAAAACATCGCAGAAAAAGAGCACGATTTAACGATTATGTAGCAGAGCAGTATATAAGAGTGCGAGCGTCTCTCTCGATCTCGATAGTCGAGCAAAAGCGAGTAAATATGACGGTCGGGCTGAGGGAGGTAACAGAGCTCCGTAACATCGCTTACGTGCGCGACTCACTTATTCACGGGGACAAAAAAATGTTGAATCAAATTCGGATTTTATTACTGCAAGAGCTCGGAATATATTCCAAGTGCACTTGACGTATGTATATATATCTATACACGCACATGTACGAGCGCTTAATATTATACGTGTACCGTGTACTGGGCTCGCGAAGCGACGACAAAATCTGTAAGTCAAATGCCATGCTTGCTGGGCCATATAGCGAACTGCGGCTACAGCCGCTGCGACAGAGCTGGCTACGTAGAACAGCCACACTCCGGGGTGCATTAAATGTGTATGGTGTATAATTGAGCGAAGGAGAGTTTAGTCCCATACCTCGGAGATTTTATGTACCTACACGGCACCAACACATGCACGTTCACTGCGTTACCGAGTCATTTCTCGTTAATTAAATTTTTCAATGAATTTTTTGCACCGGGCTTCTCGAATTCCATCAAATACAACAAAAACTCGTTTCGAGGGGGGAAAAATAATAACAATAATCGACGTACCAACCCTGTAAGTTAGCTTGCCCTCCCTTTTTTCATAGACCATATACGGGTGCGTCGAACGATCGGCTACGTAAGATGTACGCAGTGAATTTACGGCTACAACGCGCAGCGGTGTCGAAAATTTTTTCATTTTTATTTGGCCGTAATTTTCAAGTGCAAAAAGTTATGTATCGTATGTAGCACACGAGATGCGTCCACACCTGTTTGCGAGCACCTATACTTTTCTCCTTCGTCTCGAGATAAAAGACAGCGCGTCGCGCACGAAACGTTGAGCAATGCGATTCGTGCGATCAGAATCGTCGTTTTAAATGAAAATTCGCCTGCTTTCTCTCTGTTATCGGCGACGGAAATCTTGACTTTTTCCTTCCCTTTCCCTCTTTTCTTTTCAGCTCTATTCGATAATCAAGTCCATTATCAGAGAAAAAGCTGTAATGGTACACTATTGCATTTTCTGCCTCTTTCTTTCTTGGGCTCTTCGCTCGCTCGAAATCGCAATTTTCCAGAATCGATATCCTCACTTACGACGTTCTTGAATAACTTTTTATCGTCGATCTTATAGACTGTTTTTTCATTCTTCACACGTATGGCGTCGTTTATTTATTTATTTATTTTTTCTTTTTCGCCTCGAGTGGCATTTATGAACTCGAATGATCATAAACAAAGACATTTAATATTTTTAATGAGTTTCTTGCTCGCCAATCGAGCTCCCATCGATTTTATTTTGCGCCCCCCGCAAGAGAAACGACGTTTGCTGCACAGTGAAAAAAAATGAGACCATCTGGTGACCTTTATCCCCCCGTAGACATACACACACACCCGTATACGTACGTGTAAACTACGTGTGTGTCCGTATGATATAGATGACACGGTCTGTGGCTGGGTTGGCTTCGATTATGTGCACTACGGTCAGGATTTCACGAAAATGTCGCCGAAAGCTTAAAGCGATGTTGACTGCCGAGCTAGCTAGCATCAGGCCAGGCCACCACCCTACCCCTCGTCTTAATTCAAGCATCGTCGTCGTCGAAAACGTTGTCTGCCGCATCATCTCCTTTCCAACCCCCAGTGCCATTTCTTTCGTCCATCATAGGTATACACGTTATATATGTACATCGTAGTATATGTAAGTCAGTTATCCGCTTTTCGCTACTCCACTACATATAAACGCTCTCTCGTATCGGCTTTTGTATTCGAGGCTCGGAGGCCCCGCTTCTGAACACAGATATATACGCGGCGAGCACTATACAAACATAAATATTCGACAATCTCTTCATTTGTTCCGCTTCTCCGCGCTTGTTTGTGCCCTTAATCGCAAGCTCGAGGCTCGCTCGGGCACCACCCCTCCCGGCGGAATTACTGCGATATTCATAACTGGCGAAAAATAAACATCTGCTTGGTTTCAATTTTCCTCCCCGTCTTTCTTTTCTTTTTGTTTTGTTGCCTCCCCGAGTTTTCTCTCTCTCCCTTCCGTGCTTTCCGTTTTCTTGCAATGGAATAGCGCCTCCTTCTGTGTGCAGCGGAAAATCGATGCGAAATAACCGATTAAATTATTGCGCGCGAGCTCAATGAACCCGCTCGGAGCTTGCGACCTTTGTATGCAAATAAGTCCTAAACTCGCGCGCTAAATGAGATGTATGCATATTACGCTCACGCATATTATGCAAATAACAGCTAAGCGTGTTTAATGAACGATTTTGAATTTACGCATAAGCTCACACGCGCGATCAATTAATCCGCGAATGATGAATTCGTATACACGATGTATTCTGGTTCCGATACGCGATAGCTTACCTCAAGACGACCGCGGCGACGGGCGGCCTACCCTGCGTGGCCTGCTTGGACGAGTGCGACTGCAGGAAGACGGGTATGTGGAGCCTCGACCTCGGATAGAGCGGCCCGTGGGGCACGAGCAGCGTCAGGTACTCGTCCGTCTTGAGCTCCTTGTAAGTGGCCCGATTGGGCACGAGGGTCACCTGGCCCAGCGGCGTGATGGGCTGGATCTGGACTCGCGGCTGGCAGAACGAGGAGGCCGCCGACGAGCCGCTTCCGCTGTCCAGCGTGTGGTGAGACGATCCCTGTGACGACGACGACGACGAGCCACTGTCCTCGGGGCCTCGTGGCTCCAGCACGGAGTACGACAACTGAACCGTGCGTGGCAGCGTCTGAAATATATTGCGAAACAAACGAAAAGAATAATCAATCGATATTACCTAAAAGAGCCAGTCAATTAGCTGAAAGCTCAGAAATGGGTCTTGCGTGTCGCGCGCCCTCTCGCATGTTGCGAAGAGCAGAGAAGCGCTCCTCGTTATATAGCGACGTATTATACTTAGTCACGAATTGTTGGTTGGTCGCGTCGTTGCGCCGCTTGTTAACATTGTTTTGCCGAAAGTTGGTAATAATACTCTTAGCTGCAGCTAATAATTTATCACAACACAAGGGCCCTCGAGGGAGCTTTAAATTTCGAAACTCCGGGCTGGTAGTTGGAAAAATATTTTACGACGCTCGAGCTTTATCATCGATCGATTTTCTGTACCTATCACTCGTAGTCGGGATATATATGTGTATAAGGTACTTGCGAATGGCTCGCGCGTCCAAGACGGAGCGGCATTACACGCACGTGTGTCCCTTTATGCCGCCCGTAAAATTCCCCGATGGACGAGGTAATAATAATTTTATGAACAATTTGTAAGATTATGGCGTGCGCGGGAGCAGATGCATCCGCACACACGCGATACGTATTTACGATCTGTACGCACCTTGACGAGCTTGACGCGTCCCGCGGAGTCGGGCGGCGGCAGAGGCGGCCACCAGCTGGCCGGTATCGTTATCTGAGCCAGGCACACGCCGTCCTGGCCGTCCGGGGTGCAGGCGGCGGTCAGCGGCCCGCTGACAAAGTCCGAGCCCGCCTCGGCGGCGGCCCTCGGGACTATGCTCGGCGTGGCGTGCAGCAGGACGCAGACCCGCTGTTGGCGGCCGAGCAGCAGCTGTCGTCGGCCCGTCGCCTCGCTGCCGGCGTGGAACAGCACTCGCAGCACCGGAGAGTCCCGGGGTATGCTCGAACTCACCTAAAATGCGTTATTCATCAATATAATTCATTCGTAATAATTGAGCAATCGCAGCGATCGAAACGCATTCGACTTATTTGCAAATCGAGAAAGGCAGTCGAGTATAGTGGTGAATCTAAACAGTCCGGAAGCCACGATGGCTTCTTCGCGTCGTATGTCCTTGGAAATTTGCAGAGGAACGGTATATATCGTAAGTGGTAAACGCCGCAGTGTGTCAGACGACGTATACGTGTTTATACTATATACATAGGTGCACGGCAATTGTGCAAAGTAGTCTCCGTGCGTCGCAGTTTCGAGAGAGTATAGAGCGCCGCACGATCTGTAACTCGATAATGTCAAACTGTATACCCAAGTAGTGCATACGCTACACCGCCTTCCGAGCGATATATCCATTTTGTTACGTCAAGTTTCCATCCGCTAATGGATTTGTTCTCGTCGTGCACGCGACCGAGGCAGAGCTTTTGCGCGCGTGCACTTGTGCATTTTACATGTATAGGCTGCGTCGATATGGATTTTGGCCTGTGACACGGCTGTCGCGACGCGTGCGAAAATCAATGGTATCATTGGAGATACTCACCACGTGGGCCGACATGTCGAGATGCCGAGCTCCGATCTCCTGGACGTCTCGGAGGGTGGCGTTGCTGCTGCTCACGGCCTTCTTGCCGTCGAAATTCTGGGCCGGCAGTGCGTCGAGCGGGTCGGGCACTATGTACCTGGCTGGGACGGTCTGCTTGGTGCTGAAGGGCCCGTAGGTGGCCCGCACCGAGACCGGCTCGCTCGTCTGGAACACCGTGAACTTGTCGACCGACAGTACCGAGCTCGCGGCCTGCTGCTGTCCGTTCGACGACGACGACGAGGATCCGGAAGCCGACGTGGACGCCGAGGTCGTCGAGAAGATCGACGACAGGCTGAGGTCGGGTCGCACATTGCTCGGGTAATACTGGCGCGGACTGTGCTTCAGGAAGAAACCGCCGTCTTTGCTCTCGAAGTGCACCTCCACCGAGGCAGCGACATCTGAAACATTTCCAATGAAATTTCAATTATTTTTCTCGTACGTGCTCGATTGTCAAAAAGAATAAGTATAAATGCTTGTGTACTCTCTATACGCGCTATGAAATTACACGAATAATTCTAAAATCTGAATCTTTTGTAAGGTATCTCGCGAGCTCTGTTCTTCTCGCAGTTGTGCTTTTACATCGCGGCATTATTTACTAGAATAAAACAGGCAAAATGCAGAAACCACAAAGTACAAACATTTTCCAGATACCAGCGAGTAAATACTTTAGTGCGGGTTTCGTATATCTATATTCGCTATTGCCAAGTAGTTGCGCGTCTTGGGGCTTTCGCTCTTTCGATGCAGAACTAGCTCTCGAGTCTCGGGGATGGAAGTGGAGCCGCGCTCCGCAAGATATCTTCCAAAAAGCATTTTCCAACACAATTAAATGCACCGCTTGTACGGGAATAAATAGCTCCCGAGTGAGCTCGAGCTGCTCCAGTATACATGTATATTCTATAAACATCCCGAACAATAATGAAAATTCCATAATCTGTCGAGGCAAAAAAGGTTGAGGTACATGGAGCGGCGCTTAGGGAGGAGCGCGAGTATAAACGGCAAAAGCAGCTGCTGCCGCGCTTATTCTTTCGAAACTCCGAGTTTGCCTACTTGTCAGCTTTCTCTCTCTTGCCAAAAGTAAAAGGAACGAGAGTACTTATCAAAGGGTTGTTTCTGCTGCTGTTTACCACTACGTTGCAGCTGGAAACGTATAGTAGTAGTAGTTGTACTTTTACTACGCGCAACTATTATACCAGGCAACTCCAAGGCAAAACTTAAGAGAAACGGAACTTTAATAATACCTTTATGCACGTGCACACGTATAGAAGTTGCAGCGGCAATAGCTTGCACACATGCGCATACGTACATCTATACAGGGCGCCATATATGTGCTATATGCTGCGAGTGGGATATACATTGCAACAAAAGAGAAGCAGCAGCAGAAGTAGCGGGTGAGGCAGTAGCTTTGCATGCTACTTCCACACTGCGTTTGCAAATTAGATCTACGTGAAAATCCTCCTCTTCCGTGCACGAGCTGCTGTGCTCTCTCTCACGAATGCATGTAAAACCACGCGTACAGCGGCAGCAGAGCACACAAAAAAGTAAGGCCAACGCAGCAGCCGGGGCACAAGCGGCGAGCTCGCTGAAGCGACGCGCGTATAGCCAGCCAGCCAGCCAGCCGCGCGCGACTACGTGTGAAGGCAAAAACGAGCTTAATGCTGTGGGTAATAAAAAGCCCTACGAGCGTGAGTGTGTGGGTGTGCGCGCTGCACCGGGGCCAGCAGCAGCAGCAGCAGGAGGAGGAGTGTGTAACGTGGACAAATCGCCGAGCGACCGCGACCAAAGCGAAATGAGAGAAACTGTTTCGAGCGAGGGAATGCACCGCGTCCGACAAAATATTACTCTGCTTTTCGGGGCTATTTTCCACTTTACACTCGCCTACCTGTTCTTTATTGCACGAGCGAATTTCTTTTTTTGTTCAAACACGCGCGTTCGAGAGAGAGAGAGGATTACATACTCTTTCTCTCGGGCTGATTTATGCGCGTATCGATACTTATGCTAGCTCTCTACGCGCTTGAGTCGATCGTTTTCTGATGATCATCGCTTAAACGAACGAATCGCGGGCTTAGAAAACGTGTTTTTTTTCCCCGCATATAAAGTATCGATCTCGCACTCGTTCGCGAAACTTAATTCTCGTTTGACTAATGACCAGCTCCGAGATTCATTGGTCGTCGCCGCGATTCTATATTATATTAGCTGTGTGCTTCATGCTCGGGCGCTCGCACACGCAGCTCGCACGAAATACCTTATTGATCCGGGGCCAAGACAAAAACTTTTCGCTAGCTGTGTTCTTTTTCCACAAATAGAGCAGCTCGGCAACAGCTCAGCAGCGCATGGGCGAGTTTCGCTCCAAGAATTTGATTCTTTTCCTTTTCCCTTCTCAACATGCGAAAAATCTCTTTTATGTACGAAACTCTTATCCAATCGTACTTTTGCCACTGGTAGTACCAAGTAGTAGTAGTAGTAGTAGTAGTAGTAGTAGTAGTAGTAGTAGTAGTAGTAGTAGTAGTAGTAGTAGTAGTAGTAGTAGTAGTAGTAGTAATAGTAGTAGTCGTAGTATATAGTAGTAGCAGAATAAGGCGAAGAAGAATAGGATAAAAAAGAGAAGTAGTAGCAGTAGCAGTACTCCACCTACATTATACTACGAAGCGAAGCGCAAGAAAAAAGGTCTCCGCGGGGGGAGTGGATCGCGCGCGCGTGAGACAGAAAAAGCGTAGAGCTTTCTCGTGTGCTCGAGGCTTTCTGCATACAAAAAAAGAGGCGAGAGAAAGAAAGAAATAAAGAAAGAGAGAAAGTGACACCGACAGCAGTGTGAAGCTGATAACAGAAAGAGGTGAGATGGCCTAGGCTTGCGCTTCTTATACATATACAGTAGTACGCGAATTGCGTATGTATACGCTCTCGCCTCGCAGCTGCGCGAGACCGAGAGAAAAAATGAAGTGACAAGAATTTGTCGAGCAGGGCCATAAAAAAGATGGAGAACCAAGTAGTACGCGAGCGAGTGTGTGTGTGACTCTCTGCCACGCAGACGAGTATTATAAAAATTTAGCTCCAGCGGCAATTACCCGATGGATTTTTATTACCATGCCCCTGAGTTATGGCGAGTTGTACCATACGTGTGCGCGTATCGTGCAAGCGAGAAAATTTCAAGTTCTCGGCGCGTATACGATCATTTCGTGCGGCATTGCGGCGGGAGCGGTGGTGACGAGTTTTTTATTTTTTATTCTTACAAACCAAATAACGCGTTCTTTTTTGTGCGCACTCGCAGACATTAATGAAAATTCGCTTAATTAGAATAGTCCTCCGAATCTCCGAATCACGATCGAGTAATAAATTACAACGATCTCGATTGTTTGCAATGCGTGGGGTTTCCTCAAAGATCGATTCTTGCGTAATACAGCGAGGATTACAAAATGTCATGGGCAACAATTTTTCATTATAAGCTATACATATACGGCCAGCTAGAGGCAAGTCGCGCAGTGGCAAGAAGAAAAAAAAAGAAGCGAGAGGAAAGAAGAGAGAAAAGAGTTTGCTAACTTTGTTCCGGTTGAGCACGCGATAGTTGGAACTCAATTGCCATTAAAAGCAATTCGATGGAAGAGTTTAGAGTGTGTAAAAGCCTCGTATATAGATAGGCAGACATTTTACAACGAAACTGATCGCTCTATTATCCCCCGAGCTTCTGCTGATCGACTATCAGATCTCTGTGAGTATAGACATAGTATCAATCGATGGTGCGCGTGGAACTCGGGATACAGAGAAAGCATTTTTATTAATTCTACGCTTAGGAGTCTTCGTGTCGGAGGCTCGGCGCTCGGCCGGGTAAAATTTATAGCCCCCCGCGTACCTATAGTAGCAGCAGCAGCAGCAGCTGGACAGCTGAGCTCTCGCGGCCGAGCGCCAACTATCTGCTCAGCCGAATAAAACGCAAACGAGACAATTTTTTCCTGCTACAGCTGCGAGTCGATGCGAATGTAGCGCATGTAGTAGTAGTGGCGGGTGTACGTGGCCAATATGCACGCATGGACAAAGCAGATAATGAGCAAAGCGCCAGGCGCGTGTAGGATTTGCATAATTAAAAGATATACTGCGCGCCGCTTCGCAGTTGAAGCAATTAAGCTTCGTTTTTTTCTAGTTGCATGAGCTGCGCAGCTGCGACGGACGATCGGTCGGCGCGCGAACCAATTACCCGCCAACTGCGAGCTTTTATTGGTCGATAATTAACCCTTGATCGAGTGACACTTTCTACGTGGCCAATTGATGTTCGAACGCATTTGTTTGGCAAGCGACGACTCGACTGCATTGGGCATTTTTCAAATATCCTTGAGCCTTGGAAATGAGAAAAAAAATATGCCGTCCCGAGTCGAGTCTTTGCTGAATTTCTACTCGGCGACGAGTCTGCGAATGAAACTCGAGCTTTTCATACGTGTACTCTCGAGAAATAGTAGTGGACATTTTTATAAAATCACTCACTTTTCAGAGGCGAGCTACTTTGGACGAGCGGCAAAAAAAAGAGCGCAAAGCATAAGAGAACAAACCCTCGACTCGGCTGCTCGTCGTTACATGTCATCCGCGCTACGTCATATATAAAGTCAAAAGAGGCTAGCCAGTTATCCACAGGCAGCAGCCCGTGGAATTAACGGTTTCAACCTCTTGAGTGTTCAGTCTTTCGCACTTTTCTCCAGGGTAATCTCCTTCCAGTCTTACTCTTTCCTTTTTCTTCTTCCTTCTCTTTTTTCTTTTTTAATCTTTTATCTTCTTCTGTTATTTTTTTTTTGCTTTCTAAAGGACTACTAGCTCGGCTCTTTTGAGAGCCAAAATACTACTGGCATTTCGCGGATTCTCGACGTTCCTCTTTCTCCTCTAGCTACGCGAGATGCGCAAAGAGCTCGAAAGCTCAACTTTTTTTCTTCTTCCAGTTTCGATCGGATATAGTAATTCGCTTGTTTTTCTTTTATTTGTTCTTGGTCCGCAGCTCGTAGCAGCGCAGAATGGATGGGGCATTGGGATTAATCGGGTTAGCGGAGGTCGATTAATTTCGATGGCTGCTCGAGAGTATATTGGATGCTGCGCTTCCCGAGATAAGTAAAATAAAAGGAAAATTAAAAAAAATATTATACGAGTCCATTTTTCTCGGCGAAGCCTGTGCAGCGACGTGTATAAGTGCTTCAGTGCGGTATATACGCGGCCTTTTCCATCCTTCCAGCTCGAGTTATGCGCTTTAATTTAGCAAGACACTGCGAGAGCTTTCGTATTGATTATACATCAGTTGTGTAGCTTGGCTTCTTTTCTTTGAGCAAAGTACGACCCCCGTGGCTTCTCGTGACTCCAGAAAGTCGGTCCGAAACTTTCGGGCACCGGGTGTACATACAAATCGGCCGAAAAGATATGTTGCGCGCTC